TTTGAGCTTTGAAGGGGGAATATTTCAAGGCAAGATTTTGAGTGAAATAAAGATTTTAATTCATTAATATTATTCACAATCAGCAACTATTCACAGTCTGTGAAATAAAGAAGAGTATGAAGCTGTGATGTACGAATGGCTTTAACCGCCCATGGCAACAGTTCTAGCCAGTTGCAGTAGTAAAAATAAGTCAAGATGGTACTGTTGGATAGCTTAGTGTTTTAGGTATCTGACTGCAGAGCCAGAGACTGGGAGTTCAGTTCCCCAGTGTTTCCTTGACAGGACTCAATGATCTATAGGATTCATTTCAGTCTTGCAATTCTAAGATGATGATGATGATGATTGTATAAAGCAGTGAACTGTAGCCAGGATACACTCATCTATCTTTTTCTTGGCTGTGATATTTCTTTGTATATGTCAGTGGATATGTCCAGTCTTTCCTGCTTCCATATTAATCTACAATTCTTAAAACTGACACAAATATTAATAACTTAAATTCTTTGAATGTGTTTTCTGAAATAATATGTATTTTTAAATATATTTTCCTATAAGGATGTGGTGGCGCTGTGGGCTAAACCGCAGAAGTCTGTGCTGCAGGGTCAGAAGACCAGCAGTTGTAAGATCAAATCCACGCGACGGAGTGAGCTCCCGTCGCTTGTCCCAGCTCCCGCCAACCTAGCGGTTCGAAAGCATGCAAATGTGAGTAGATAAATAGGGACCACCTTGGTGGGAAGGTAACAGCGTTCCATGTCTAAGCCACACTGGCCATGTGACCACGGGAGATTGTCTTCAGACAAAACGCTGGTTCTATGGCTTGGAAGCGGGGATGAGCACCGCCCCCTAGAGTCGAACGCAACTGGACAAAAATTGTAAAGGGGAACCTTTACCTTTACCTTTTTTTCTAAATAGATATGCCCTAACATAAACATTTCACACAATCTTCAGGTGTTCTTAGGTGTAGCAGAGTGTAACCGGTTGTCTTCCTCCTTGCACATTCTTTCCAATGTAACAAATAGATACAAACTTTGTATGTAAGTGTCTGTGTCCAATATTTGCAGCTGCCTCATCATGACTAATTTGACTCTTAGCATATGATTTTAAGGGTGCATCTCATTTGATCACATTTTTAGAATTAGATTTATACTTGTTTTTTTAATATGTTTATTTAATACTGTGTCATCAATGAGTTTGCACTAGTTTGCAAAAATGAAGAAGAAATAAAACAAAAACACAGGTAACAGAGTAAATTCATAATTATATCTTGCCCTTCTGACCTAGCCTATACATATTCTATATGAGGCTACATTTCGAAGCGGCCTCAGCTGTATGTCGTGATGCAAGCAGTTGTTGGTTTGCTAACTTCTTTGAAACTTCTGTCTTTGAAAACTTTATTCTTGGTGGCTATTACTTCAGCGCGGAAAGTGAGCGAATTAGCTGCATTACAAGCTGATCCACCATATGTACAGTTCCACCGCAATAGACTTATCTTATACCCTGATATTTACTTCCTCCCAAAAGTAGTTTCGAGCTTTCTAGTTAACGAACCTTTGATTCTACCAACGTTATTTCCCAATCCGTCTTCAGATGTTGAGCACATGCTCCATTCCCTTGATGTTCGTAGAGTGTTGGCTTTCTATATTTCTAGGACCAAAGACTTCCGTACCTCTCCTAGATTGTTTATATGCTTTCATGGACCTAAAAAGGGTCAACAGGCCTCCTCCCAGACTGTATCCAGGTGGATAGTTTCAACTATTGAGCTGGCATACCAAATAGTGAGGAAGATTCTGCCTGTAGTACTGAAGGCTTATTCCACCAGAGCTATGGCTATGTCCACTGCTTGGTTGTGTGGCATTGACCTTGCTGACATCTGTCGATCAGTGACTTGGTCCACACCGATGATCTTTGCTTTGCACTACAGACTGGATGTCAGAGCCAAAAAGGAGGCAAACTTTGGAAGGGCTGTGCTGACATCTCTTCTGTCATGATGGCCTTCCTTCCGGTAAGTGAGCTTGCTAGTCACCCATTTGTGTGCATTCACAGAGTTCATGAAGAAGAAAGAGAGGTTACTTACCTGTAACCATGGTTCTTCGAGTCTGTGAATTCACACATTCCACCCAGCTGCCCCACTGTCCATCACGGCTTGCATTTCAGTCTTGTAGTATTTGCTTTGGCAGCAATGGACAGTTGGAACTGAGGTACCTCAAGGCAGGCAGAGCATGCGCAACATGGGGAAATGTTTTCATTAGTCAGTTTATTAGCTCTAGAAGATTCCGAGTATTCCTGCGCAGGAGCAGTTTAACCCATTCATGTGAATTCACAGAGTACCACTCAAAGAACCATAGTTACAGGTAAGTAACCTCTCTTTTTTTCTTCATGAGAACATTATGGGCAGATACACTCAAAGAGTAAAAGGAAAAGCAAAACATAGCATCATCGAAGAGTATGTGCTTACCTTCTTGTGTATCCTTTTTTCTTAAGCTTGTATTTTGGGCCTTTCTACGGATATGTCATTTTTGCCTGTTTTGTTCATATTCCTCCTCCATAGAAGCAGTAGTGATCCATCAGGATGCTATCTTACTTTACTTTAGCTATGGATAGACTAGCAACCAATCCCTACCCTGGGGGTATAGAAAGGAAGTAACCACAAATACTATATATAGGACTTAACATGTTGCAAACCTGCACAGTTGTTAGTTGAAGGCAACATTTGAAAATGTGCTTGGCAGCTTTTAGCTACTTATTTAAATGTTCTGTACTGTGGGCAGAGAGTAGATGGACAAGTGGTAGAGCAACAATAAGAACTATTGGAGAGAAATTAAATATAGAGAGCCAAAGTTTTCCCCAACCATTGGCTAGTACAACAGTAGTAATTATTTATTATATGATTTAGCTCCATTTCATTCAAGGCTATCAGAAAGGGTGATGACACCATATAACTATTGAGATGGGGGGGGAATGAATATTTTAGCAAAGATTATGTAGTAACATATTAACAGCATGTGCATTTCAGAAAAAAAAGATAATATACTAGCCAGTATATACTGAGTGATGAAAATCTTCTCTCCTTGATGTAGAGAGACATCTTAAATACAATAAAAATTATTTAATATGTTTAAAGATCTGATATGCTTTGACATAGCCTGCAGGAGAATTGCTACATTGGGCCTGGAATCTCTTAGAAATTGGAATAATGAATTTCTTTTTCCACCCCACTCCCCAATAAACATTTTTTCTATAGGTTTTCATTCTCTTTCAGCTACAAGGGACTTCTTGATTTCCTGTCATGACTATATATATTCAGACATATTTAATGGCTGAAATCTTGTTGCTTAGCATAATAAGTCACACTAGAGTAGGCTCATTCAGTCACTGAGGATTTGATAAGTCAACTCTTCCATGAGTTCCATTAATTCGAATGGGTCTACTCTGGTTGCAAATTACCATGCTAAATAAGTCACAACTAGATTCAATGAAACATGTGGAGGAGGTGACTTGCCAATTTACCTCTGATCCAGTGAGCCTATTCTAATGTGATCTGATATGATAAGCAACAGGATTTCAGTTAATATATTAATACTCCCACAGGATTTTTTATTTTATTTTAAAAGCTGTTGTTTTGCAGAGAAGGCATAATTCACTTATGAGATGCATCTTATTTTCTTCAGTTTATCCAGATGGAAGAGTTTGTATTTCTATTCTTCATGCTCCTGGTGATGATCCAATGGGCTATGAGAGTAGTGCTGAACGGTGGAGCCCAGTACAAAGTGTGGAGAAGATCCTTTTGTCTGTGGTCAGCATGCTGGCAGGTAGATAAGAGGAATTAATCTGCAAATATCAAACAAAGATAACAGAATAACAAGAAATGACTGGACTACTCTATTATTCTATGGCACTAGGGATCAGAAAGAATGAATTAATAAAATCCAGCTACCACATAAACTATAAAGGGAAGATGAGAATGAAGTAGCTCAGATTTTTTAATTGTTAGCTTTGATCAGTGACCAAACTTGTCCCCAGTCTGCATGATGCTCAGAGTGGCCTATCATAGATTAACGATGGAGTCACTTGTGGTCTTTGTAGTTATGGGAGGTAAAGGCTTAATTTTAAAGCATTTTCGTAAGCTGTAAAAATGCCATGGGTTGCTTTGGGCCTTGTGTAACTAAGATTTTCTTTTCTGTTGTCTTCCATTTCTTGAAATATGGTATTGAATATCTTTTCTAAGGAGCATTATCACTGAGTAACTACCAAGATGATTAAAATACAATTCATGACCAGTTTAGTTACTTCACAGTGCAAGACAGGCATGATGTATTCTGTGCCACTCAAATAACATGAAGGATGAACTATTCATTTTGGCATTGTAGTTTTAATCATCTGAAGTCTTGCTACTGTAAGGCCCTGTAGTAACATGTGCTTCTGTGCATAAACATCAGTTCAAAGAAGTATCAAGGGACTGTGTGAGAGATCTATTTATTTTACTTTTTTGAAACATTTCCCACTTCCAATAATTTAGCTTCAAGACAGCTGTGAGTCAGTAAGAATGAATTAGTAAAATCCAGCTACCAACATAAAAACAAAATACAAAGATCAAGGGAAGATGAGAATGAAGTGGCTCAGGTTTTTTAATTGCAGGCTTTGATCAGTGGCCAAACTTGGCCAGTAATTCTGCTTTGCTCCCTGCCGCCCCAGAGTTATTTACAGCCTCAGCATGAACAGTTCTATATTGCTGCTAGTGTCCCATACTTCGCCATTCAAGTTCCTTAATACTGTGAACTTGGGATATATTGTAAATACTTAAAAGCCAAGTTGTCAAAATGCTAAAGGTCTGTGATCCATGGATAATGTTTGTTACATTGTACATTGTTTTGGGAAACCAACAACACTTGGAAGTAGCAGGGAGGAAGCTGTAAAAGTACTGCTAGTTAATTAGTTGGTGCTTGCATCCCTTGTTGTGGAGCAATTTGTGTGACTGACACATGATGAGGAATACAAGTGGTGACTTTTTAATGTAGAGCAATCTACTGTTGTTGTTTAGGCTATTGCATATTGCTGTAACTCACTGATAGGATTCTGGTATTTATGATGTTCTTCTAATGGTTGTCATCCTTGTTGCCCAATGTGTTACTGTATTTGGCTACAGCCCTAAGTGATTCTTTCCCCCCCGTTGATTTAATGTTTCTTGATGTCCCTTTTCAGAACCAAATGATGAAAGTGGAGCCAACGTGGATGCTTCCAAAATGTGGCGGGAAGACAGAGAACAGTTTAACAAAATAGCCAAGCAGATCGTTCAGAAGTCACTTGGTCTTTAAAAAACAAAGCAGACTGAAACATGTGACAATCAGAGTATTGAACTTTTCTCAGATAAACAGAGGGTGGTATGCCATGGTGGTATCAAAAGGCAAATCTGCAAAATATTTACTGGGTGTTTCCCCTCCTCATTTTTGTTTCTTCCTTGGGAAAAGGAACCTCTCCCTGCCCAAGACTTGTTAGTGGATTTAGTTATTGTAGGAAGACTGCATAGTGCTGCAATTACTTTCCAGTTGTGGAAGCTTCAAAAGATTGTGTGTATCTCTTTATATTCAAATTGTTTTCTATTCAATTTCATTTCCATATTGTCTACTTGTTGGTAATGGGTTGAAAATTAGCATCATCTTATAATTTCTCAGAAGCACAAAGGAACATTAATACTACGGGAATCGATTTCCTGGAAATGGAAAACTGGTCTTTTAAGAATATCTTATGTGACTTAAGATAAAAAGAAATTGTTGCTTCCTAAATACTGCAGAACAGCATCCTCAGAGTTAAATGAGAGCCTAGTTAAACTTTTGGACAAGATTATTTTATATGTAAATTACTTGCTAATTCTATTGGAAGTAAATCCAATAGAAAGTGATCAGTGTAATCATGATCTTGCTTTCAGGTACAGTGTTCTGTGGGCCTGAATGAATAACCTTAATTGTGACAGCTTTTGGGTGCCATCAAGCACAACCAAGTGCGTCTTGAGACATTTTGTTGAATTTGTTACAGTCCCATTAATGTTAATGTCTGACTAATCATTCCTAAAATTCCTTGAACAAGTATCTCTGTCTATAGTGGATGCTGGAAATAACATGTCGTCTGAACAGTATTGCAAAAAAACTATCTCTACCAAGTTGTTTCTCTCTCCTGACTTGAAGTGTTCATAACTAGTATAAAGAGTTTATCTTCTGATGATACTCCTAAAGGAACAGAATCCAGTATGAACACTGTGGATTAGCAGGAGTTGGTGGTTCTCAGCTTCATTTACTCTTGTATTCTTCAAAGGGTGCTGTGGGAAGAAGACTCTGTCTTGGTGGCAGTATAAATATACAGATATAGTGCTGTACTAGGAATGAACTATTTCATTCTTTTATAGTTGATAGTGCAAAAACCGACCCTTAAAGACATGTCCTTGATGTGTATTTCGTGGTTTGTAATGGACCAGTTGACATCCACCCTCTGTTATGTATATCTGCTTAAGAAGTACATCTATCTAATGGCTACTTTGGACTGTCATCTTTAAGGTTACATTGCAAGAAAATTCATTAACATATCTTGTGTAAGCCTGCCTTAAACTGTTTATGTTTGAATCAAAATTTCAATGAAAGGATTAGGTCAATAAAATATATTTGCATCATCTCTATTCCCATGGAAATCCACTGTTCCCAGTGGAATCCATCCATTAAACTTCTGAGTGAAAAACAAAGGGCCACTTGAGATGTTAATGTATCATGACTTGCCATGTGGGGGGGCGGGAGTGCATGGAATCTAGTTGTTTGAAAGTACATCCCCATGAGAGTGATTTTCAGGTACAGAAGTGCCACTGAAATAATCTCTGAGTCACATTTAGACCTTTTCCCATAGTGCAATTTAGAAAGGGATAGAGAGTGGGATGTTCTTTGGGGTATCTGTGGGGTGGATAAGGAGGGGAGTAGTAGTGTTTGTCCAAAATGTCATTGACAGATGTTCTTGCTTTTCTCTGTGCACAGGTGCTTGTTCATTTTACAAGATGCATTGTAGCCTGAAGAGTCAAATACGACAGCAGCATTCAGAAAAGTGTGTATTGATTAATGGTTAAAAGATATGTAGGAAAGCTGTCCTACTCTTATACAGTATTCATGCATATTTAAAAATGTGTTCTTTATAATCGACTCAAATCTCTAATGAAAATAAATGAATATTTTCTTTAAAGGTACAAGATCACTTATATTTTTGTGGAAGAATAGGTATTATTTAAGTAAAAATAAATACCACATACCTGCTTCTCTTGAAGTATCTGAACCAATATTCATTTTCTCAAACTAAGGAAGACTAAGAGTTATGATGGATTAAAAAAACCAGATTAAGCGTTTTCCCTCTTTGTTTCAAAATCATCAGGAGTAGAATAGGATGGGGTAGATAGTGTATATAGAGTATACAGTGACAAACACAAAGGGCCTGAGAAATCAACATTTGCAAAACAAGTACCTGATCCTACAACCTTCTAGCTCCACCATTCTTCCTTTGGGGGGAAAAAAACTAGCAAACAGCACTGAACATTGATGATTTTTGCATTACATCATTTTAGTATCCATCCCCAAATCAGTGGGATTGGTGAGTCTTGGTAAAACCATTCATTGTAAACAGATGCTACAGTTGCCAATTACAAAATGGTACCCTCTTCTCTCAACTAATAAAGTGCTTTTCTTACATGAACAGCTTGGGAAGCAATGTATCAGTTTTTGGGAGACAAGTTGTCTGTGTTTGTGTCTCCCTCTGGATCCAAATCTGTAACAAGTCTTTGAGGTTGGAGAAGCCCTGCTTTGATTTGGGCATCTCCAAAATCTGTCTGAATCACTGCTCTTTAGGTTGCCTGACTCTTAACCAACTTGTGTCATGAAACTCATTTCTTGTCAGGATTTTTTTCAAAATAGATATTACTATAATATGCATGCAAGTAACTTTTTAATCTATAAATTTCACCTTTTGTTTAGATTATTTGCTTTAGGCTTTGTAATTCTACCAGTTGAAAAGAATGCAAACGCATACCTCTTCTGTGCTAGAAAGGGCTGTGCCAAGACACACCATACACAGTCAACTGAGAAACATAAATTTATCATGCCCTCCCCTCTTCCCCCAGTGCTTCTTTGAAAGAACTAACTGCAGTATTAAAGATGTTGGAACCACATAAAACAGTTGTGGCTTAAGGGCAGGGCTGATCCCTAGATTCTTACTGCCGTCTTGTGTTTGGCCTGATTCTTACTTTGCGATTATTAGGCATGATGAAAGAGGTATGCATGTCCTACAATCCAGTTGGCATGCTTGCTTTGAAGTTACTACATGCACTGCAATTGACACCTGTCTGTAAAATGTTTTACGTCCCATTTTGTGTGAGAGGTCCTTTGTGTTGTGCCTTCAAGTCTGAACAGAACCACCTTATAGTGACCATAATAGGGCTTTCAAGGTATAGTAAGTGATATATTTAAGGAGCCAAGTCCCAGCCCATTTCTCTAACCACTACATCACATTGAGCATTGAGTATCCCAATGGATGGGGAACAAACTTGAAACACTACCATCTGCATCCAGCGCATACTGAAGCTAACCTTTCACACTGAAGTAGAAAGAACTACTGTTGGCTTATATGTCACTTTGGATTAATGAAAAGTGTTCGTTATACCAATTTCAAAGATGCTGTTACAACATCTGTAGAATAGAAAATGCAACAAAAGCCCATTGTAACCCATGGCAATGATTTACAATATATGGGTTACAAGGAGGGAACTGAAACTGATAGCAATCAATTCATAAAAATGTTGTGTGATAAACTGTGATAAAGTTACAGAATCCCCACTGATATTGCTGGGAATCCCAGTATGGTGTTAGAGAAACCTGACAATTTTAGATTGCTCAGTATGTGGTAAATTCCACAATTAGAGCCAAGTAATCTTCCAACAAACCATTTCCGTTTTTTACTTAAAAAAAAAAAAAAGATAATATAGGTCATGTGGAATAATTGCTTTTCTGTTTATATTTGGGTATTAGAGACTGTTACCATTCAAAGATCTACAATTTATTTTTAAACAGGTTTATACTTTCCTGTATCACTAGATGGTCTTGATTACATCTACAGTTGCTAAATCAAGGAGGAAGGATGTATTTCTCTCTCGATCCATGGCACATGAAAACCTGATATAAACATAATCCTGAATTTATGATCCTTTAATTTAAACCTCTGGATTCATGCAATAATGCTAAGACTGGCTTTAATTGTTTGCAATTTGTCTGCAAATGTCTTTCACAGCTGCAAAGGCCTATACAGTGGACCCTCTACTTACGGAATTAATCCATATTGGAACGGTGGCTGCAGGTCGAAAAGTCTGTAGGTCGAGTCTCCATTGACCTACAATGCATTGAAAACCAATTAATCCCGTAACCGTTCGTTTTTGTTCCATTTTGGGTTTTTTTTTTTTTTTCTGGTCTGTAGGTCGATTCTCTGGCTGCAAGTCGAACCTAAATTTTGTGGCCAGAGAAGTCTGTAACTTGAAAAGTCTGTAAGTCGAGCTGTCTGTAAGTCGAGGGTCCACTGTGCTTTTGTCCTAGTTTAAGGGACCACAGCTGAATCCTCTAATTTTGTTATGCTTTTTGCCCACACATTAGCCCTAGCCCTCCTAGAAGGAATTCTAGCCCAGAAATTCCTGAAAGGCCATCATTACCCGTTAAAGGCATAGTGGATGGGTCTTTCTGCAGCAGCTTTCCCTACTTTTAACTTGGGGAGCAGCCTAGAAACAGTACCAGAAGTCAAGACCACAACTGTGTTAGACTTGTGTAGTTTTTATCAGATGGGTTCTTACAAAATAAGCAACTAACTTTTGTTAGCTTTCTTTGGTCTGCCTTAAAACAATAATCCAGGAACGGAAATCTATATGCCTGTGTCTCTTAAAGGATCTCATAAATTTGTCCTTTGGTGCTTTCCTTGTTGCAGAAGATTTAATTTTTCACACTCAGAATCACATTTATTTAAATGTTTTAGCGAGAAACCTTACTTAGTAGCCTTTCCCCAATATGAGTTGCAACTGCCACCAGTCCCAACTGGCATAGTTGTTGTAGGGGAGGCTGATTTGAGTAGAAGGGAAGGGGTAGAGACAACAGTAGCATCCATGCAAATGACAGTGAAATACCGATAGATCCTGCTTGCTAAAAGAAATTGAATAAAATAATCCTTTGCTAGAACTGGGCAATGGCATGTCCAAATACTGCATCTGAAACAGTACCTGCTTTCTAAACAACTAGAACCACCAGGCCAGACACCTATCTCATAAGTTTTTGGTAGTTAGAGCCAGGCTTGATTAGTACCATATTTTTCCATGTATAAGACTATACTTTTGTCTAAAATCTTTAGACTAAAAATTGAGGGTCATCTTATACATGGAAGCAAGCTGAGGAGAGAACAAAAACAAATGGAGGGGAAAGCAGGGATCAAAGTGATCCTGCAGGATCTCTTTGATCCCTGCTTTCCCCTCTGCTTGCTAAGCCCCGTGGGGCTTAGCAAAAGGAGGGGGGGAAAGGATCAAAGCAATCCCTTGGATGTATAAGGGGGAAAGGGATCAAAAGAATTGCGCAGTCACGGGATAGCTTTGATCCCTTTCCCCCTCCTGTTGCTAAGCCCTGCGGGGCTTAGCATGAAGGGAGAAAGCAGGGATCAAAGTGATCCTGCAGCACTTTGATCCCTTTTCCCCTACACTTGCTAAGCCCCACTTGGATTTCTTAATTTTGGATTAGAAAAGTGGAAAAATATGGTGCTTTGATTTCATGAATACCATGAACTGCCAGGTTCGTCTAGGAAAGCTGTGTGAAAACTGAAAAGCCACTGCCAATCAAAGTTGACAAGAATAGGTTAGATGGGCAAGATTTGGCTTGACCTAATATTCTTGCATTATTAGAAAATGTTACTGTCATCCTATTCAGAATTCCATATCTAAAGTGCATTGCCCATTCAGCCTCCACAGCTTCCAGTGCAGGCTGGGAAGATGTACATATATGTGCTTGCACAAAGTCTTCTGTACCTGCACAAATCAGTGTATCAGGTTGGGAAGGTTTAAACCTCCACTTCATTATCAGCATCTATGTACTTTGTTGTTGTTTAGTCGCGTCTGACTCTTCGTGACCCCCATGGACCAAAGCACACCAGGCTCTCCTGTCTTCCACTGCCTCCCGGAGTTGTGTCAAATTCATGTTGGTTGCTTCGATGACACTGTCCAACCATCTCATCCTCTGTCGTCCCCTTCTCCTCTTGCCTTCACACTTTCCTAACATCAAGGTCTTTTCCAAGGAGTCTTTTCTTCTCATGAAGAGTTGGTAGTTCATTTCTTCACTGTGAGTCTCAAGAACCAGTCTGTGTAGCCTTGGACAAGGTGCATAGTCCCAGGGTGCTCCCAAATAGAAAAAAAAGTACTTTTAAATACTCTACCTGGAAAACCATGGAAATGGTAACCTTTTCAACCTCACAGGCTCCCAGTACAGCTTGGGAATTGACTTGATGGCATGCTACTATTATTGTTAATATTGTTAAATTTGTAGCCTGCTAGATATTAAAGTTTATACCAGAAAGATCTGTATGTCCTCGACAAGCCAGATAGTGTGGTTGCTGACCTTGAGCCAGACCTCCTGGAGAGTGAAGTCAAGTAGGCCTTAGAAAGCATGGCTAACAAAAGGCCAGTTGAGGTGAGGGCATTCCAGTTAAATTATTTAAAATCTTAAAATATGGTGCTGTTAACATGCTACACTCAATATGCCAGCAAGTTTGGAAAATTCAGCAGTGGCTAGAGGACTGGAAAAGATCAGTTTACATCCCAATCCCAAACAAGGGCAGTGCCAAAGGATGCTCCAACTACCATACAATTGCACTCATTTCACATGCTAGCAAGGTTATGCTCAAAATCCTCCAAGATAGACTTCAGAAGTATGTGGACTGAGAACTCCCAGAAGTACAAGCTAGATTTTGAAGGGGCAGAGGAACTTGAGAGCAAATTGCTCACATGCGCTGGATTATGGAGAAAGCCAGAGAGTTCCAGAAAACATCTACTTCTGCTTCATTGACTATGCAAAAGCCTTTGACTGTGTGGACCACAGCAAACTATGGCAAGTTCTTAAAGAAATTCCTGACCACCTTATCTACCTCCTGAGAAATCTATATGTGGGACAGGAAGCAGCAGTTAGAACTGGATATGAAATAACTGATTGGTTCAGAATTGGAAAAGGAGTATGACAAGACTGTATATTGTCTCCCTGCTTATTTAAGTTATATGCAGAATACATCATGCAAAAGGCTGGACTGGATGAATCCCAAGCCGGAATTAAGATTGCTGGAAGAAATATCAACAACCTCAGATATGCAGATGATACCACTCTGAAAGTGAGGAGAAATTAAAGAACATCTTAATGAGGGTGAAAGAGGAGAGCGCCAAAAATAGTCTGAAGCTCAACATAAAAAAAAAAACTAAGATCATGGTCACTGGCCCCATCACCCTCTGGCAAATAGAAGGTGAAGATATGGAGGCAATGACAGATTTTACCTTCTTGGGCTCCATGTGAGCCGCCCAGAGTAGACATTGTCTAGATGGGTGGGATGCAAGTTCAATAAATAAATAAATAAAATAAATAATTGATCACTGCAGATGGTGACAGCAGCCACGAAATTAAAAGATGCCTGGTTCTTG